AAAACGCTCAGAAATGTCTTTAAAAAATCATGTTTTGGGTCGATTTTAAGCAGCCACTGCGTCTGATCCGAGGCGGGCATTTTGCTCCCTCAACGGGCAATTGTTCTTTGGACCTTCCTTTAGCATGCCCCTGTTACGGAATGCGATTATCAGTCTTAGTTTGGGAGCAGTATTGTCTCAAAGTTGACCAAAACAGGCACAACGATTTTTCAAAGACATTACTGAGCGTTTCGGCCAACTTTGAGACAATACTGCTCCCAAACTAAGACTGATAATCGCACTCCGTAACAAAGGCATGCTAAAAGAAGGTCCAAAGACCAATTGCCCGTTGAAGGAGGACGAAATACCGCCTCGGGTCAGACGCAGTGGCTGCTTAAAATAGGCCCAAAACACGATTTTTCAAAGACATTTCTGACCGTTTTGGTAAACTTTGAGACAATACTGCTCCCAAACTAAGACTGATAATCACACTCCGTAACAAAGGCATGCTAAAGGAAGGTTCAAAGACCAATTGCCGGTTGAGGGAGCAAAATGCCCGCCTCGGATCAGACGCAGTGGCTGCTTAAAATCGGCCCAAAACACGACCCCAGCTACCTCGCCGCGACCCCTTAAAATTTTTTCGCGACCCCACTTGGGGTCGCGACCCTAAGGTTGAAAACCACTGACCTAGCGGTCTTTGGTGAAGAGGGTTTCAACATTTTAAGGGGTTCCCAAGAACCCCTATTGTCTGAGGTCTGAAAATTCCTCCCCCCCTCCCTCTGCGGCAAATCGCACTCCGTGAAAAAGTGGTTCTAAAGGAAGGCCCAAAGAGTACCCACCGGTTGAGGGAGACCGATCAGCTGCCCTAGATTAGGCGCAGTGGCTGCCTAAAGTCTCGCCAAACCACGATTTGTACACATTTGTTACCGTTCAGGTGGCGCAACGGCCCGGGCCGGCGGCGCAACGACGCGTGTGATGATCTCCTCTGTGGTCCATAGTGGTCCATGCTTGTCAGCCCCGCCCACCATAAAAATGGTTTTCTCCGTCTCTCTCGTCGTCTTGGCCGCCGCGGTTCCCCTCGCATACCGCCCCACTGCGGCAAAGTCCAGCGCGGCAAATTACACATTCCGCCGCTTCACATTGTCCATCGCGGTCGTGGCGGGGGAGGGGAGGGGGAGGCACCCCCACCTGCACCCCGCCCCCACCCCAGCGCGGACAATGCTGCCCCTCCGCCTCCACCCACGACGTGTGGCTAGGCCGAGGGCGACACCGGGCCGAACTGGACTGCCGCGTCGCCCTTTTCGATTCAAAGCGAGGATAATGATGAATACGCAGTGGTGGGGGAAGGAGGCAGGCAGGCAGGTGCGAACACACCAGGCACCTCCTCGGGCACCTCGTATCGTGTGGCCATCGCCTCGCCGGGCCTCGCCGCCGCGGTCCGGGGCTGCTGCGCCCTCCGCCCAGGTCCCTGGAGATCGCCTCGCCGCCTCGCAGCGAAGGAACGCGAGAGGAAGAAGGAATGGCGCTTTGGCTGCTTTGGCGGTCCAATACGCGGCGGGCCGCGGCCGTTACTCGACGCGGCGCTGCTCGAGTCCCGTCGAGTCCGATATTCCTTCCCTTCCTCGCCGATTTGTTCCACCGCGATTCTTTCTGCCGCTCCCCGCGGCCCGCGAAAGACGCGCACCGCGCAAAACCCGAAAGGAAGAAAAGAAGAAGAAGAGGGAGAACAGCTGCGGGGCGCTGCGCCGCGGCGCCGCCCTGCACTCCTCTCGCCGTAATGCGGTGCATAGGGCTGTACACCAGTGTACCCGCGGTGCGTGGCGCGGCGCGGACTCAAATGAATTTTCCCCGCCCTCCGCCCGCCCCGCCCCGCCCCGCACCCCCGCGGCCCTGTCCTCTCAGGTATGCAAGGGAATTCAGCTGCTGTAAACTGGGCCTGGCGCCGTGCCTGGAGTGCGTGGTGCGCGGGGAAGGGGGGGGGGCTCCAATTCCGTGCGGAGCGATGCGCCACGACGCCACCAGGGCCACCAGGGCCACCAGCGCCACCAGGGCACGCCGTGCTACTACGGCAGGGCGAGCAACAGTTGGCCCACCGGTCCGAACTCCAAACGCGCGTCCTTTTCTACCGCGACTTACATGCAACCCCTTCTCACTCGCACCCACGCGCGCCCCTGCCCGATAATAATTATTTCTCTCACCGCCCCAGCCTCGCCCCGGCCGCCTGTGCTACGGTGGTACCCGCGGGCACACGCGCTTCCGTATTTATTGGATTCTCGTAATCATTGTAGCGGCGCTTTGCCGGCCATGGCGGCCGCAGCCCCTCACGCTGATTTATTCTCGGGTTGTGCAAATTACTCCGCGGTCCCAATTAATTTCGCGCGCGGAATCATATCGGTACGGATGCGCCCTGGGGACGCGGGTCGGGCAAAAGGGGGGGGGGAGGGGGCACGACCCGCAGCAAGGCGAACGCCGCGCCGCGCCAAACAATGTTTCGCAATTTTTCTGCGAGTTTTCGCTTCTT